AACACATCAGTAGTCACATCAAGCTTTACGCGTATTTAGGGAAGTGGAGCATTAAAAAGCCACCATGAGTGGAAGTGCAAGAGCAGCACACAGCATTTCTCTCCAAACCAATCACCACCATGGAGCAGTTTTGTGTGTTTTTACTTACGCCCCAGAAGGCTCTCAGCTCCCTCACAATTCCAGTGATGGCAGAGACGGGCTCTGCGCAGATTTCCAGTGTCTGGCAAGTCCAAGTTTCCCCCTAGTCTTCCTCCCTCAGTTTGGCTGTTCTCCCTCCCCAAACCCAGCTTGCATCTTTCTACATCAGAACTAGGAAGGAAGGAGTGAAAATGCCGTTGCCACCATCATGCTGGTGAGAGGGACAGCTTCACTCCCCTTGCCAACAGGGAGGTTCACCAACCTCCCAGGTCTTGTACAGCTGCTACAGCTTCTTGTACTCCGCATGGCCAGCGGAACACAATCGCTCTTCCACACACACCGGCCCACATCCCTCATATCTGTACCTCCAAAGGTGCTTTTTTTTTTTTTTTTGGAGGAAAGCTTTAGAGGAGACAATTGCACTGGGCACGTTGTTGCTTCACTGGCACAAATTCAGACGCTTGAGCTGTCAGATCACTCTTGGCTCTCAGGAAGATTTTCCTTTCCAGTGTATGAAAAAATTGGAATATTCAAATCCTCAGTGCACAGAACAGTCAAGATTCAACAGGGCCAAGTGCCTTGATATTGCTGAATGAAGAGTCTCATATGCACAAGTACATGGATGCTTTTTTCCAACATTCGCCCAATTTGCTGTGCGTTTCTTAGTCTGAGCAACTGCATTTTTTGCAGGCTACACTGGTAACTTGGTATGAGCTGTAGATCTTCAGCAGAGGGAAGGGAGTACAGCAGTGGCTATAGGGGGATGAATGCCTCACCCCTCTCATGGACAGGGCTCATCAGTTGCAGACTGCATTAGCTCAGGTTTCACCGAGGGTCAAGATATGCCACGCAGCATGTCTTGAGGGCAGTTACCCTTTCCTGATATCCACCGCCCCTGACACGCAGCAGTCAGTAGCACGTAGTGTCCGATGAGGTATTTCTACAGATTGTGAAGCTCAGTTACTGGTTTCATCCAGAAGTCAAAATCCTTTTTCTTTTAAAGAAAAAAAAAAAGCAAAACAACCCACTTGTTTCCAAGACTGAAGCAGAGGCCAGAGGTGACAGTTAAGAAAGGGAGGCCAGGATTTGTTAGCACCCTTTGTAGCAACACTTGGCAGAGGCAGACAATCAGGATTTTTCAAGGCTGCTTTAAGATCCACATGACTGTGTCTAATTCAAGGACATAGATCATTCTGCAGGGCAAGAACAAAGTCTTAACAGCTCCTGAAAGACTGCATCCAGCTCACAGGGCACTGACCTCAGCAGATCAACAGGCCGATCAGAAGACCCAGGCCACACACAGCATCATGTTTTCAGACCTCACTGTTGCACGACGGAGCATTTGCAGGAATACATGTTCCTTTACCTAACATGGGAGGAAAGATCCTTCGCAACAAGAGTTTGCAGCATCACTTAGGGCAAACAAACTCCACTATGAAATGCAAACTCTTTGCAGCTGCTGTGGTGGATGAAACAGCAGATCAGGATGTGAAGGGCCACGGGTATTACAGCCAGTGCCAAGCCCAGAAATGCAGTAAGAGATATCATTTCTCCTTTTACTGTTTCTGAAATGCTGTGTTTCCACGGGCATCCCAGGGAGAGGAGGCAGCTGCAAGCAAGCTTGCTGAGAGATCAGATGCCATCTCAGAAGTATCCTCAGTTATCTGCCTCTTGCTCTGCGTCACACCAAAGATGCCTCTTAATGCCCAACAACTATCGATCAAGATCCTTCACCCTCAACCCCACTTCATTCACAGCTTCAGGAAACAGCCAGCAGAAAGGTTAAAAGGGCATGTCCCAAGGCCCTGTAAGACTGAGATTACTTTAGCAAGTACCTTTGGTCCAGGGACTACAGCAACAGTTACAGCAACAGCTTTACCACCTTCCACTTATTACAGGAATTCCAAGTGACTTCAGCTTGCAGCTCTTCAGGAAAAATCTTCCAGCATTTGCTAAGTGGAACAACGCTTCTCTGAAAGAGTGCCCTTTGCTCCCCAAAGCAGCAGCAACCACTCCATTTGGCAGAAGGCTCCAGGACATCTGAATGGCTCATATGTTCTTCCTTGGCTCATATGTTCTTCCTTCCTCGCACCTAACTCATATAGGCATACAGGACCACCCTGCAAATCTGGTGGCAAAACTCAGTTGCCCAGGACTCTATTTGGCCCTCATCTCCCAAATCCTAGAAAGCGGGGCAGCTACACAGCTGTACACTGTTCAGGGCTCCATATTCCCCAGAGGTTATTCTACATAGCTGCACATGAATCTGGCTCAGTCTGCCTCTTAAGCAGCTCTCTGGCTGCATCCCTTTTGGTGAGAGCCAAAGAACAGCCTTACCATAATGCCTAGAGCAGATGATCTTCCTAGAGAGTCCCCTTCTCTCTCTCTCTCTTCCTCCCACCTTGAAGTTTCCAAGGGAGGATAATAAAATCCAGCTGATAAGACAATATTTCTTCATGCTGAAAAAAAAAAATGAAAACATCAAAAATAAAACTTTCAAAAAATCGTAAATAGTGCCATGACATTCTTTGTTCTGTAAGGAGTCCATGAGCTGGGCTCAGCTGTCTCCTGAGACTCCCTCTCCCTTAGCCAGGAGCTGAGGCTCTTCTTCCTGTTCTGCTGTGCTTCGTAGGAGCCTTGAACCCTCTTCTGTATACAAAAGAGCTTGAGAGCAGAAGTCACACCACAGAAGCAGGCTTCACTTTCGTGTGCTTTGTTCCCACCACAGCCTGATTTGGGCTACAGGATGGGAACAATCAAATTCCTAGTGGGAGAGAGGAGAGGATAGGGAATCAAACAGCCCACTTGATGCAACAGAATCCAACCCAAACTGGAGCTGGTTTGGCACAAGAGCAAAGCTCCCTCTGAGGAGCACAGGCCTGTGAAGGTACCAAATAAGCACAAGGAAGTGGCAGAAGCCCTGTCCTTTTAGCTAGGATCGCATTTCCTTCGCAATCAGATGGAACAGACAGATTTACACCCGATTCCACAGGATAGAGCATGGACCAGCAGCACATACTTACCATCAGTGACAGCAACAAGATGGGAGAGGCAGCCTTGCTACGTCGAGGATTCGCTCTCCTGCTTCTGTTTGGAGATCAGCTGAGCTTCCTTCAGGGACAGATACACCTCTTCCTGGGGGTCATAATAATAGAACTTCCGAATGTAGGAGATCAGAGGCCTGAGAAAGGTAGAGACATATACTTTAATGATGAGCCACAACCAAACCAGCCTCTGTGCTGCAGCCCATCCAGCACAGTCGCCAAACAGGAACCTCTACTCCTAAGGCTGTGCCATTGACAGACAACACCTCATGCCTGAGCTGGCCATCCCTCCTGTCTGCTCAGCTGTTGCTGTGTCCCTAAACAGGACATTTAGCCTGCTGCCCCAAGGCTGAAGAAGTTAACTACTCCTTTCCAGAGCCTTTGTCACCTTTGCTGCTGATATAGATTTTTTTTCCTCACGGCCTGCTAGGGTAAAAGTCAGAGAGGAAATCAAAGGAAGGCATTCCCAGCCCAGCCCTGGAGACTTACTTGGGCAGTGGGAGTTCTGGGATGTGGTCTATGCGGACCAACTGCCTGATCCGGAAGCGACAAAGGTGCTGAAGGGATTTGACATTGCTGAACCTGGAGACTGGATACAGGAGCTGGACAGGTGTTGGAGGGAGACCTTAAAAAAAAAAAGCAACAGTGGAAAACAGTGTTATATTAGAAACAAATCAAACCACTACAAATTCACAAAGGAAAAGGTGGCTTTTGCCACCAGAAGCTTTTGCTTAACCAGAGCTCCTGCAAGACTGTCTAGATGATAGGAAACCTTCCCAGGAGCCCATTGCTTTGAAGTTGTTTGGAAACAGCTAGCCAAACTTTCCTTGGGCGATCCCCCTTTGACTGCAAAAGTCTCTCCAGCCTTCCTCACAAGCAAATAACACTTCCCTCCAGCTAATGCGAAACGGTCACTGTGGCTACCAGTGGTAAAAAAGCAGATTCCGGGACACCGCAAGCTCCTAAAGACCTCCCTCTCCCCAGATTAGTAGATGAAGCATCACTTTACACTGAGAAACAACAAGCCTTTGAAAGCCATCAGATTTCAAGGATGGAGAAGAAAGTAAAAGGGAAAAAGGAAGGCAGCATGAAGGCAGCATGACTGCCACATAGGCTTTGCTCTGCATAACCCTTTGGGTACTTCTATCGAGGCATTAAAAAGCAGGGGGATTTGGTCAAGCTCAAGCTGTGCAAGAGTTGCTCATTCGAGGGGTCACGAGGCTGGGCATAAAGGCAGAGGCAGGAGGACAGCTCCCCACGCAGAGGGCAACCTTGCATGGCTGAAAGTAAATTGCATTCAGTTGTCCTCCCCTGCCCACAATCTCCTCCTCCCCCAAAGTTAAGAGCAACAATCAAGCCCACAGAACCAAGAGGTCAGCAGGAGCACTAGAAAGGATCTTGGGAGCTGGGTTCATTCACAGCACAAGGTTTTATCTGTCTTTACAGAAGGATTCAAAGCTAGTTACACTCTAACCCCCTCCTGCTGGCTTGTCTCTGAGGGCAATGGAGTGAAAGGAGAAAAGGAAAAGCTCTTCACACTAAGATGGGCTCAAAACTGCTCCAGGCAGCTCAAGAAGCTGTGAGCCAGCTTTTGAGAAAGTGAAGAACAGGAATCAATTGAAGGCTGAACTCCCCCCACCCTTATTCTCCTACCAAAAAGGAATTAGCCTCTGGGAGCTCAGCCAGCAACTACAGGGACACAGCACGAGTTCTGCATACTGTGCAAGCCACATGCCTTACTGCCAGCTGCATGCTAGAAAGATCCTCTCTCCTCGGAGAAGCAGTTAACATTTCAGCAAGAGAAGAACACTAACGAGCGCACTGAGGAGATGCGGATCCTAAATATTCTCCCACTAAAGATCGGGCATCAATATGATACTGCTTTTCAAGGATCAAGGCAGGGCAGCTGCAAGGAGCACCCAAGCCCAGTGCTGCACCCGGATGGAGAGGCACAGGACCTGGAGACAGCAGCACAGCTGACCGATAGTTTACAGAGGGGACCAGAGCCAGGCAGCAAGTGACTCTGACAAGCGTGCAGCATTGCTTGGTGAGAATTTTTTCTTTTTGGAAGATGCTTTTTAGAGCAATTCCTTTTCACCAAGATATTTGCTTGGAGTTCTACAAAGTCCATGAAGCCCTGTTCCTGAGGGGAAGAGATCTCAGGATCAGGAAGGTAAAGTATCTTTAAGGTTTAAGTTCAAAGGATTTTTGAGGTAGGGTACATTGCAAAACTAGCTAGCTACAGTGCTCTCCTCCCCAAAGCATGGCCATGTTATAAATCAGAAGTGCAGTTATGGGCAAACTCTGCAGCAGGGGGCAACACTGAACAAATCTGAGTTAAAATTCCAAGCTCTGCAGGCATCACCAAGCAAGTCAGAGCAGGCCTCGGCCTCAGCTCCGTAAGAGGGGAAATCCCGTGTCTCCTCCCCTTCAGTCTCTTTAGGCCAGAACCCCTTTGGGAGTCCATGATCTCAGTGTAGGCATGCTACAGTGCCACTAAGAGGTTGCTATCACCATCAGTGCCTACAGACACGATGACAATAAGGACAGGGAACAAGTTTATTACCATTTTATTTGTAGATTTACTGCAGCAGTCTTCATATTCTTCATGATACTGCCCCTCTGTTCCAGGCTCTTTGCCGTGACCTGTTTTACCGTGGCAGTGTTCCAGTTTCTCTGTTCTTTTGTTCCCAAGCATTACCTTTTTCCCCTCATTCCAAATTGTTCCCCACTGTTTTTTTTTTTCTCTCAAGTAAGGCCCCTGCCTATTTGCCCCTTGAGCAGACTCTTCCCTTTCTTGCATATTGGATTTTTCCGTTAGCTTTCAAATGCATAACGAAGGATGAGCCAAAACCAGAATAGTTTAGATACAGAAGACACCGTCCAGTTGCCAGACTGGACCCAGTAGGAGGGAGATTGTGAGCCCATTTAAGGAACTGGACTGATGGGTGAGGGAAAAAAGCATCCTGCGATTTCAACAGCCTACAATCAAACATGCTTCAACAAAGCTTCACTTACACTCCCTCCTGGCTTGCAAGCACCTGCCTGTTGATGTACTCTGGCACCACGGTCCCCCCAGGGACTCTGAATCTACAGTATCTATTGCTTGAGGCTCATATTTAGCTCACCACTTGGAAATGCTCCTACACATACACTCCGTTTAATATCTCTCCCCTCAACAGCCCCAGGTGGGTTTCAGCAAAGGGATATCTGGGAAACTGCAAAGCGTGGAGCTGTTTGTCAGAAAAGCAGTACTGAGACTGAGGGAGGGAAGAAAGCTGAGTTTCAGCAACCAGATAATTGCTTGCTGAGGAGGTAACTTTCCAGGCTGCAGTGAATAGCTCCATTAGTTGTGGTGTTAGATGGCATTATGTTTCTACAGTCAGGTTCAAGAAGTCTCCTTAACAACACAAGTATTTGGTGCAGCTGCCAAGCAAGAGATCTACTTCTCAGGATCATATTAAAAAGTCAATAGGCAAGGATGCACCCGCGTGCCACAGACCAAGGCCATGTTAAATAGGCCTTTAAGACAAACTAGTAGCTAATCACAGAGCAATAAACATCACACAGACTCTGAACAAGACTCACCTGGAACCCTGGATCGAAGAAAGTAAAGAAACTTCCCATTTTTTGAGTGCATGATTGCTCGCTTTATGAACTCCACCACAGACTGGCAGCGGTCTTCAAATTTGGGATGGCACCACAGACTGAAGGTTCCTTCCAACAAAACAGAAAGGGTTTCACACTACAGGAGCACTGGTGGCAAGAGGAGATACATGTCACGATTTATTGACTCGTGTTCTCAAAGACCAGGTGACAACCACGAGCAGAGCATCACTCCAGCTGGCAATGTCAGAGGCTGACAACTACTTCTCATAAGGCTAGAACGAGGCAGGGCATCAAAGAAACACCAGTGACATCCGCTACGGACATGCCGTTCCACTGGAACTGGTGCTTTCCAAGAGCTAAGGATGCTCTGAAAGACATGACAGTATGACCACTATAACCCAAGCATAGCTGCAAGTGATGCTTGCCTGAATATGTAACCAGCCTGCAGTGACTGCCGCTTGCTGTAAACTACTAAAACGCATTTCAACACGATAGGGACAAATACACCTGCTCCTCTGCAGTAACACATCAACACCCCTCTCAAAGAAAGTTGGGGCATTGGAGAAGATAAGCCACACGGACAGCTACTTAATAACCAGAGGTTCAAGTGCTGAAGCCTTCTTCTGCCAGCCCTACCACTGCAGAGAATCACCTTTATTTCAGAGCAGGTATGGGAGCAGCTCCACGTTCTTGCAGACTGTTTCAACAGCCTTACTTCAAATAACTCTCAAGCTAGAACAATGGGTCAAGAAACACCAAGATGATCCGACCCTACACCGCCACTTGACACAGCTCACGCATTAAGCTTCAGCAGCAAACGAAACTGGAGAGAGGCAACACAGGGAAAGCAGGCTCTCTAACCTGTTTAGAGATCTCTAAATAGGCTACTTTAAGCCTCAAGACTATTTTCATGATCTCTGTGCTGCAACCAGACTCTCCCCTCTGCACTAGCAAGCAGCCCTACTTAACCCCTGCTTGCCAAAACACTACCTCTGCCCCCCCATCTCTCCTTCTGTCTGCCAAACATGGCCCAAGTCAAGAATGACCCTCACGACACAGGATCTACCGAGCAGATCTAGCAACACTCTGACAGGAACCAACACAGAGCACAGCTTCACCAGGAGGAGCAAAATGGAAACCAAGGGCTACATTTCGCACGGAGCCTCTCAGGCAGCCAGACACAAGCTCTAAGCCTGCCGGGGGGGCAGATTCCAGCAGTAGGTGTGTTGCATAACTTATCTGCCTAAGTACTGTAACACAAAGCCAGAAAGCCAGCAGTGACCTTGAAAACACTCTGCATCCATGCAAAGCTTCATGCTAAAGAGAAGCTGTAACCAAATCAGAAATACCCAAGAGGTAACTGAGCCTTAGGACTTTTCAATTGAGCAGCTTCTCCAGCAGCATCAGTCTCTGCAGCATCAGCCTATTACAGGAAAAACTAGAGGAGACAGCTCTGCAAGACGTCCAGAGCTCTTGGCTTTCTATAGTATGGAGAGCAACCAGCACTAGAGCAGCCACATACAGCCCACAAAATTTAAACTGCACTTCTTCCTCCCACAGTCAGGCCTGGCAGGCTTTACTGGGAAAGGTACCTCTCGCTCCCACCATGGATCAATTCGGAAACAAAGATCTGTTTAACACCTGCTAAACGTTCAGGATCAGCAAGCAAAGAAAAATAAGCAACTCTTCCTGGGGACCACTGCCCTCAGATCTGAAGGCATCTACTGGCCACTTTTAAGGGCTCAATGCACAATAACTATAAGGTGGTAACATTACTGCAAGAACACCCCTCTCTTCTCCCCAACCTGCCTACTCAGCTCTCCCTCCACCCCCAAAAAAAAAAGATAGTAAAGAAATCCTAGTTTCTGTCTCTCATCTACCTGAAGGTCAAGCATTTATCTATTTACCATTCCCCTAGCCCCACCATTTGTCATCTTCATTGGTTTATCAAAGCGCTCAGCTCTGCAGTTTTCCACTCTGCTGTAGCACACTCAGCAGAAGGCAGCCAGTCCTAGGGGGAAGCACAGAGCTACCAACACAGGCCAAAGCGCTGGATCTAAGAATGAAACCCTTGATTCAAGGTTGTGACCAGGAATGCTGCTCTAGGGAAGGTGGCAGCACCAACTTTCAACCTGTGCATCCAAAAAACACAGAGGAGAGGGAAGAACATGTGGCTAATGGGTCATTTGGGCAGAGAGAAGCTCCTGGAGTGGAAGCACCCCACATCCAAAATAAAAAACCTGAACAGCAGTAAAGGAAGTTTGCTCCAAAGCTCAATTACGAAAGAGTAACCACTGTACAAACAGCTTCAGATCTCCTTGGGCTGGAAGTGCTCCTTGGAATTTCTATAAGGACAGGTGATGAAAATATCCTTCCCTCTTATGCAATGGTGAGGGACAGGGGAACGGCTCTGGAGAGATTGGAAAGATACACCAGCATTAATTCTATCAGAGGGGCTCAGGACTAGAAGCACTGCCAGGTTTGCTAGCTCTACACTGGCAATGCTGACAAAAATAGGGGAAGACAACAGTAGCATCCCTAGGGCAAAGGCAAAAAGGTGAAAAAAGATGAGCTTTGCTCAGAAAGGATGCAAACCACTGGTTCCTCCAGCAGATAGGCTAGGAAGCCTCGGAACCCATTATTTGAAGGCACATTTAATGACAGTGCTCTGCAGGCACCCACTACTAAAGCCTGACCACTGGTTACAGGACAGCTGCAAGAGTCTTGACAATACTCTCCCCTGGTGCATTGAGCCTCTCAGGCATTTCACTCAGCCTCAGGGCAGCAGTCTGTACAAGGGTTTGGTATAGAGAAATCACATTTGAAGATCAGCAGAAAAAGCATGTGGGCAAGGTGAGAAGTAGCCCATGACAGAGGCTGAGCACAGCAGGAAGAAAGCGTGCAATCAACATGCAAGGAGTTCTCAGAATAAAAAACCACAACAGTTCCACAACAGTGGAACCAAAACCTCAGCCTGGGACATAGCACAGCTAGTGCCACTGCTGAGCAAAGTGAGATGACAAGCCACCACATCAAGAAACCTCTCATTTCACAGGGAAACGAGCTTCATTTTGGGAGTCCCTGACAACTACAAACGATGAGCCTTGCCGTACATCACCTCTCTGTCTTGCAGGATCTCAAAAACCTTGTCATCACTTTGAGCCCAGTTTTCCAAAGCAAGGCATAAAGACAGGCACACAGAACTCTTGTAATGGCCAGTTTTTCAGAGTTATAGAGTTTATAAATATAAATTTATGCTGCTTGAGGCATGAAAAAGTGAAGTCAAGTACAGGTTCTAAGGCCTCTTGCAGAACTCCGCACAAAAGCAAAGACATATTACTGCTGCTCCCCCTCTTCTGCCATGTCTGCGCCCAGAGCATTGTTTTAGGCCCTAGAGATCAGATTGGACCGTAGCCATAGGCTCCTGGTTGTCAGCAGCATCCCGAGAACTCCCCTCTTACCTCTGTAGTGCTCCATTCTGGTGTGATGGGTGATGCCCTGTGACCGAAAGCTCAGGCTCAGGATGTAACGGGGGTCAGAACTGTCTCGGACCAGAAAGGACCCATCTGGCTTCCCCTTCAGCTTCATCTCTGCATCCTCCCAGTTCATTGGCCCCCAGTACCAGCCACACTACCAAAAGAAAGAGACGGTCAGAATGCCACTGGACTACTAGCAAAAAAGATCTTAACAGCAACCAAAGACACAATACAATTTGCTCGTCATTAATTCACTTTCAGTGCCAAAGAGTGGTTGTATTCACCCAGGAACAGGGATGATGAGGACTCATTGCTCCTGGATCAGAGAGTGCTATCACATCCCCTACCACAAGCACTACTAGAATACATGATACCAACATGCCTTCCTATGCATGCCAAAATGCTTTTGTGGGCTCACCACCCCACAGGGAGAAAGCCAGAGGTTTTTTTTGTCCTATCCTAATCTTATACTCCCAGGTCTGTAAAAGAGATCATTGGTCCCAAAAAGTAGAGCCAACACCTGCAGCCCAACAGGGAACAATTTCCTGCTAAGGTCCTGTCCTGCTGCCACGCCACTATGTTAACTTTACCTTTTCCAGTTCTCGCAAGCTAGCGGCGAAGCTGCTCGAGTCTGGGCGGTAGAGCGGACACTGCAGGTGTGGAGTGGGCTGGCTGGGCACCGCCTCTACCGGCCTGAGAGGGACAATCCGTGGGAACGTGTCTGCAGAGGGAGAGACAGGCCATGCCATGGTCACTGATCAAAAGCTAATCCAAAGAATAAACTGCCCTCGTCCCCCCCAGTACGCTCTCAGCTCTAGAGGTCAGGACAGAAGTAGCAGAGCTGCAACGTGGAAGAGGAACCTGGACTGACTGATGACGGGTGGTCTCCTTGTGAGGGACACTGAGGGCATCACTACCTGGCTCTTCCAAGGTGACTAATTCAGTGCCTTCACCTGCTATTTCTTTATGTTAGCTTGGAGGAAAGCGCGAAGCAGCACTGACTGAAATGAATTAAAATACATGCCAATAGCTTAGATCCTAAAGAAGGGGTAACTAAAACCATTTGGGTCCTGAAGGATAGGAATATACCATTTATTTAGACTGCACAATAGGCTGGCCATCAAAGCTTGGGGTCCTCCATTAAACCCTGCTCCCAAGGCTGCTTTCTGACTTTGCTGACATGAGTCAGCAAGAAGTCCTCCAACACCTCTCAAGTCATACAGCCCAGCCTGCAGCCAGGACCTGCTTGCGCTGTAATTCTGCTGAACCCAAGAGGAACCAGAGAAAACAGAAGATGCTGAATTAAGGCTAACACTGGTGTGATTACAAGCTTCAGCAAAGCTACTGTGGGCAACAAAGAGCCACACCACATGGAAAAAAAGGCAACGTACTGAGGCCAAGAAACCAGCGCCTTGACACAACTGCAAGTGAGCATTTAACAAGGTGAGTAGGACTGCATGCCTGGAAGTGGGCAAAGGTGGCAGCACTGCTGCTCTTAAAGCCTCAAGTGCAGCCTTAAAGTTTACCAAGGGAAAAAAACTTAAGTCCAGGTCCCTGAAGGGAAAAACTGGAGCCTTGCTGCTACAGCTAAGCTGACCTGGGGCATGGGGTGGAGGAGGCGGAGGCAGAGGGAAAGACTGCAGGGAGGACCCCATCGGACCCACTAGGACAGATGTAGGCAGCGTCCCACTGATATCATCTAGAAGAGAACAGAGGCAAGAGATATTCAGAAAACAGGAAAGTGAGCAAGCTCTGCACTGCTGAGCATCCGACAACATGGCACAAGCAAACCAGCACTTAGCGCTGCTTGGGAAAGTGGAAGATGAAGCTTTTCATTGACAGCACGTGATCTTCCACCAGCTTCTCTGAGAGCAGGTAGTTGTTGCCGCTTCAAACTGGCTCATCTTCAGTTTACTTGGAGGCTTAAACACACACACACGCACACTTACATGCACTCCTAGAATCAAGAAGTTAATTTTCCAGCCCAAGCATCTCAATGCATGCAGCTTGCAGCACAAGATACATATTGGCAGAAGATTTCAGACCTGCTGCTGCCCTGGCATGTGCAGTTTAAGGCGCTGTTTATTCAGGCTGACTTTACTCTTCCTAAACTCCTCCCAGTCAGAGACCTCTCCTCCAGAGAAGGATGTAGAACAGCTAAGCCAGGCTCCTGATATCCTCCCAAGGAGCCTCTGCTTCCACAAACTAGCGGGCACAGAAGAGAACTGGCCTCACTCAGCTATGGCTAGGAAGAAGGGAAGTTTCCAAAGGCAAGCGTAGCAGAGGAAATACCAGGAAAGCAGCATGTTAAAGTCCCTCCTTGTATTGCTCTGTCATGAGCCTCCCCTCCTGGCTGATCTAAGAGAAATGCTGAAGCCTTCGAAGAATAGCAAGAAATCCTCTGTCAGGGAAGGGTAAGCAGGTGCGTTACTAGGTCAGACGAGCAGGCAGCGAGTCCACTGCCAGGGACCCTTGAGACTCTCCTCCTGCGCCTTGGCACGGAACAAGAGGCAGTTCTTACATTCCCATACTGGCGCACACAGCAAACTCTCGACACAGGCACGGCACAGTACCTAGCAGGCTGAGGCTTCTTCGTGGTGGAGGTGGAGGAGTCGGAGGGTGAGGGGAGGTCAGTCCTCGCTGAGAGATGTCCACATCCACTAGTGACACCGTTTCACCTGAAGGTTGGTGGAGCAAGACTGTTAGAATTGCACCTTTGCCAAGGCATGCACAGGCCAAGCACCGGGAGGGAGAGGGGAAGGGAAGGCACCATAACTTTTGAAGTGGTTTGGAGGACAGTTTCCACCCAGCTCAAAGGTCTCCAGGGCAATCTCATTAACTGTTTTCAAACTGAGTTTTTATGCTGCACCAATTTTGTGACATTGATCAGCTCTGCTACTGCAGCCCAAAGGTCAGGCCCTAACCAACTGTGAGGCATAAGGAAATGATAAATATCGATACATGCTACTGAACCCAGACTAAACCCAGCATCAAGGGGATGTGATGAGGAAGGGGCTGCAAGACCTCTTCACCACCGAGTTAATGTGGCAGGCAGAGCTTATCACTGATGCATAACACTGGCTCCTCATATAGTTCTTGGGGAGTAGTTTCACAGGCCTGCTTACATAGCACTAAGTGATACCTACTGTTAAAAGCTTTGAGATAGTGCTATTAATTCCAATAGGAGTTTGCCTACAAATACCTTCATCAAAAAGAAACACCTTTTGCCCCAAACGCCACGAGGGTACCATCTCTAAAAACTAATATGAGGGAGCTGGGCAGGCTTTTACATCAAATAGCTGGAACATGCCTATGTCTAAAGGTTCTGGAGCCAGGATACTGCTGGGGGAAAATAAAGACACAAAGAAAGGTGGGTAACTTAAAAGGAGAAAAGCTTAAAGATAAACTAAAATAACAGGAGAGAAATAAAGCCATTGAATCAAGGCCAAAGCACTAGTCTCAATATTGCACTGATAGAGAGCCAAAAGGAAAACATCCATGTTCTGAAGTGAGGGCTAAGTGTTGCCACCACCAAGGCATTTTTCCAAAGTCAGTCTACTCTAACCAGGCACTCATGAATCACCAGCACTGAAAACAAACCATTACAAACATCTAAACTATGGTCTCAATGACAAAGAAGTTTGCTGCCTTAGACTTTGATTCCTGTTGGTTTGTAGCTCCTCTTCTGCTCCAGATATTGTAACACAACTTCATCTGATCTCTTGGTAAGTACCTGCCAATGCATTTACCTGGCACTACCTATGACAGTATTGACTCAGCTTCCTTCTACTTTAAAAAAGCCTATATACTAATAAGAAGAGAGAGGTATTTGGGGTTGTTCATCATCCAAGAAACCTTCTCCCTGGGGATTTACGGGTGTGAACACACATGCACGCAGCCACTCTTTCATTTCCACAGTCTAAAAAATAAAATGGCAACATAGGTTGGGATGCATTCATTTTGTACAACCAAAACCAAAAGATGACAAGATTAAGAGGGGTTGCAATAATTCAGCTTTAAAACGCTTCCTCATTCAGTAGGAGCTGAAACAGCAGGCGGCTTCAGTGTTCGGTGGACAGCGCTCCTCAGACGTGCCCCAGGAGAGATCACGAAATGCTAGAATGGCCTTCCCAAGGAGAGTGTCATTACTACTACTTGACCCTTACGCTTAACCTGAAAGCAAATCACCCAGAAATCCATGCAAGCTGGTCCAGTCATTCAAATTCTATCCCGGGGGGGGAAAACCACCCATCACACACACAAGACCTCTGCTACACCAGAGCAGAAAAGTCAACAACAAACCAAAGCAAGTAAAATTCAGACATTCACTCTAGGGAAGTTGGCATGGGCCATGGTCTTCTGCAAGTGAAAAGCTCCTAAAAGGCCATTACCATTGATTTGCAGAAATCAACATAAGTCGTTTTAAAAACAGTCATTCAGTCAAATTAATTTCCCAAATTAAAAGCAGACACTTATTAATTCCAGGTTCTGCTCTGTAGTCTTTTTTGAAGAAAAGATGCTTTGCACCCCACACATCTGGATAAGCCACCTCCCATCACCACCAGCAGGCATAAGGACTACAGATTTTACGCTCACACAGCAAATGCTCCCTTCCCCTAGCAACAGCTGACAAAGTGGTGGTAGCAGCTTTTGCTTTAATCAGCCTTGATTTGCTAAATAAATGCACACGACACTTATGGGAAGCCAGTCACATCATGCAAGGAACAAGTTCTTGGCACGCTACCCCACTATCAAGACATCAGCTGAAGGGATATCCAAGATCAGAATGGAGGAGAGAACAAAGCGCTACAGTTGAATTACCCCCAAATTACTCCATTTCTGGAAGAGCTGAGTGAGCTACACAACTAAAAGAAACAGTAGGCCCCAATCAAAACTTTCAGTTATGGTTTCAGACGAATCAAATGAATGCTCTGCCTTGAAGGACATTTCTCTGAAACATAAGCCACTTCTCAGCAAGTTATCTCCACAGCTCTCCAAAAAGAGGACTTGAACCCTTACTCAGGAATATAAAACACACACCAGCACCTTCCCCAAGCTTTCCAGGCCTTCAAATACCTAAACCAACAGCAAGAGGTAGCTTGCAACTTCACTCACTGGGTTTTCCTAATACTGCTAACATTACACAATCAAATATATTTTGATTCCTCTACGCTGCAAGTTAAGATCCTTAACGTGTATTCATTTTGAATCTGGCTTTCGTAACAGGCTGTGCAAAACTCTAACGGATAAAACTTGCATTAAAAAAAAACTAAGATCACAAGTAAAAATTCAAGACAGGAATCTCCCAAGTAAGTCCCAAGCCTATGGCTAGGATTGTTTTGACTGCAAGTACACGCAGCGCACGCAACAACAGGCACATGATGCATGACTGCAAGCTTTTCGTATTACCACTCTTTCAGCTGCAAGCAAAGCAGAACTTCCCCTCTTGCACCATTTATAAAGCAGCCAACTTCCCCACAGCAGAAAAAGGAAGGCCAAAAAAAAACACAGGAAGTGGGGAGAGAGGGGAAGCATGCAGAGGAGGAACAAAAGCTGAACAAGAAGGTGCTGTTTTAATTCCCACAGTTACACTGCGGCAGAACAGCTGATGGAGGTGTGCAGTCTGCACGGGAAGCAGGGCTTGGTCTCGCCTCCTTTCAAGCCAAAGCAGGCCAGCACACACGCTGCATTTACGCTACAGGGGATTTTCCACATCCCTTTGATACAAACAGCCCTGAATGGAAGAAGGACCTTCGCCTCCAAGATCACAACTCAAACTTGCATTTCAACAGAAGAAACTGCAAAATGCTGACATCAAGCAGAGTCACGCTCTTTACAGTTCTTCTTGCTTTGGGTTTTAGGCTAAGCAGGGCAAAAGAGCTATCCACAGAGATCCTGGTTTACACGTGGAGGAAAGAGCCATGTTATCTGTCACGGCCATGCGTTGCCCTTTTCATAGCAAAATGAAATGCCATACTGTAAATCTTTCCCATTCTTACCTGTAAAGAGGGGGCTGAAAACAACCGGGGAAAAGGCACTTTGAGTTCTTGTCAGTCTGTGTTTCCTATTGGAAATAAAGAAACATCGTGAATAGAGATGGGGAGACCCAGTGCATGCCAGAAGAAGAAAACGTCGTTTCATTTTTTCAAACTGGAAGAGCCTTCACCATTATTTCCAGAAGTCAGAGACAGCTGAACACTGCATGTTTATTCAATTCCTAGAGCAGTGTTCTGGCTTAAGGAGACAGTCAACCAGTAAAGCTAGGTCTCAGTCCTGCTACTAAGCAAATCTCTAACTAGGTAATTAATCAAGTCTTTGGAAAGAAAAACCCCAAGCAAGTATGGTAACCGTAGCCAAGAAGCTCTTTCACAACAGACACCACACTACTTCTCTAGATCAGACATTGCCAAATGCCTTAGACAAACAGGTTAGATCTCTGCACAATTACAAGTTGTGCTTAGAGCAAGCACATTAAATGCCCTCATGCTCCGAGTTTGGAGACGGATACCATCGCCCCAAAGCATTTCTGAAGGCAGGTGAGGGGTAGGCAAGCTAAACTTGGAGCCATTGAGATGGATGGAAATGGCTAAAAATTCACCTCTGATGAGGACTCCAGATGACCTGCAATACCTGTGAAGTTTCCTTTCCAAAGCATCAGTTTTAAACAACACTGCAGCTAGCCCTGTGCTCTCATCACACTAGATCAACCACTCCTTTCAGCACCTTCCCTACTACAATTGTAAAGCGCTTCACACAAATCTATGCAGAGAAAACGCTAGTAACCGAGGCACTGAGCCTCGGTCCCCCAGGACTTGATCCATGGCTGAGGTGAGAACTGGAACCGGTCTCACTAGCAGACCTTTCCTCTAGAAGCCAGGTTGCAAGAGAAGGCCTTGCAACAGAAAAAGTTTTCTAGATTTAAATAGTGGACTAAGTCAGAAATCCTATTTATAGGCCACCCAGCTGCAGCGGTATTTTTGTACAGCAGATGCTGATCATGAGCTGTTTCAAATAAAACCGAATTCTGAGGTCTAGCGAGGCTCCAATCTCACACAAAGGTGCGTTACTGAAGCAAGTCAGCCTGCTCAAACCTTGATTCACAGAACCCGGCAAGGTACCAGAATCCCGTTTCAGAGGGTACCAGAAACTCACTTCCACTTCAGAAGAGAGCGCGAGAACAGAGCTGAACGTAATAGCAGCTCCCCGCTGTGCCACAGCTTCTGGCAAAGGTCTCTCGGCTGTCTGCAGTCCCTTGCACAGGCTCATGCCAGCACTGACGAGTTCAACATCAGATGCATCAGTCTGTAGGACTGTTCTGGGCCAGACAAGGTTACTCCAATTTAAATATTGAAACTTGGCTGCGCTATCCAAAGGAAGCGGTCCCACTTCAGCCAGGCAAGTGACTGTACCAGAGATCTGCCCGAGCTCAGAGAGCAGTTCTGCTCCCCCCTTGCCATCACAGCAAGGGCCAGGACCGCCCCCATCTAGAAGAACACCCCACTTCCACCACAAGCAGGATTTGACAGGGCTGACACCGTTCCTCTTTGACGGCCTCCTTACTCCCCAACCTTCTAACAAGCGCTTGAGCCAAAACCTTAACCACATTTTGTGTTTTGTGCTTTAGCCACCGCACTCTATAAGCAGCCTCCTGAGAAGCCCAGACAAAGCTTCAGATAAAACTGGCTCCAAGCAAGGGCTCCCACCTTTCAGGAGGGATTGCACTGAATAGGACGCAATTCAGCCAACCTACAGGGAGAAGAAATCCGAGCTCCAGCCTCCTATCGCCATGCAATAAAGACCCGTTTGAACACAGAACAGATGGGTGTGCCCTGATCTTTCCACAGGGAACACCAAATGCTTCTCTCCTTTCTATCTGAACAACCCTAGCGACTTCATTGGGTCACACAGCTGTGAACAAATATCTAATACTGTAAGTTTGCTCACAAGAAAAACAGTGAGAAAAACCCATCTGGATATATAGCATTCCATTAAAACGTTCAGAAGTGTTTCGATTTTAAGCATCTTGCACCCATTTGAGGGTTTTGTTCCCAGACCACCACCAGCATGCATCAACAGCCACACGTGTGCACACAAAATTACATTTCTGGACTAATATCAACTAGCCTTATAATCTAGTAACAGGTTTTGTTCCTACTCATTAAACCACATGGAAAAGAGAATTGCTGGCATTTTGCTGTTACCAAAACAACTACACTTATGCCAATGTTTTATGGCCATTGACAGACTTCTATGATTTCTCATTTCCAGCAAGCTCACAACTGCAGCAGGGCGAGAGCAAGAAATAATTCACAGAAATTGAATCTTCCACTTTACAACTCCATCTCCACCAAACTCTTACAATTCCTCTTCCCGCCCTTAAGTTCTACAGCCGTCTCCAAACGATGCTGAAAACCATGGATAAGTAAAGCGTGACCAGGACCTGAACATTGCTGCATCAGAAGAGCACAGCCCTGTAGCACTACAAAAACGTCCATACTACAAGTGCCCATACGTGGACACCGCCACTTACAAATACCATGGACAGGATTCATAAGGCACAAAGAGCCAACCGAGGAACCCCTGGAGTTCTAGAAAAATAAGGATTTTAGGGTCAACTGCCCACCTATTCAGTAATATCTGAGGCAACTACCTTAGAGACCGGCACTTTGCACAGTTCAGGAACACGACGACTTCACTCATCCTAAAGCAATGATTTTAAATGTCCCGTTAACACCTTCTAAGGCAAGTCTTACCCAGCCATCCAGACTAGCTTTGTGATACTTCACACGTACGGTAGCAGGGAAACTTATTAAAAAAAATATCAGAAGGTCAGGTCATCAATACTGGGCAAAGCAACTCATTTACAAGACTTCGGTACCAACCTGGCAACTGATCTGTAGAAACAAACGTCTGCTACAGCCCAGATAGGCCTGTGCAGATCCATTTGCCCAACTGGTGCCTGAGCCTGCACTGCCCCCTTCCCCTCTCCCTCCGATTACTCCAAACAGCTCTGTGCTATAAATTGCTTCCAAAAAAAGCAATTTCAGTGATGCAACATTTAAATATCAACACCCAGGCCTGGGGGGGAGAAGCTTCACATAGACTGAAACTAAATGTAGAGATACCAAAGTCTCTTGCAGCTCGGCAGAACCCAACTATTGATTTTAGATAATGGAGTTGGTTTCCTTTTTAACTTTTGCTACACACAGGAGGCGAAGCTGTACTGCGCTGCCTCAAGGACTGACAACACCGGGAAACCTGGGCAGCAACGTCAAATACAGGGAATTCTGCTTCTCGGTAATGTTTTAAAAAAAAAAGAGTCGCGCTAGATAAACACCCAGCGCAGACCAAAAGAGCATCATTCCCCATCCGCCCGTCAGAACGCAGCAGGCAGCTGCAAGGCACGTACTCGAGCTCCATAGCAAGCACAGCCATTAGTTAACCCTGAAGTTGGCTCTGAACTCACCAGAGAGCCCTTCCCTCGCTAAGAGGGCCAGTAACCCACCCCATCAGCCACCAGCCACTGCAGCACTGACTCACTGTAAACGCCAGGTCTATACTGCACTAACGGGGGCCAGCAACGCACCTGGAATTCTTAGTACAGGCAAGGAAAGCTTCTCTCTCCACTCAACCACGATTACTGCAAAGCAGCAGACAGCATCTGCTAGCATGATTTTAATGCATTAAGTTTAACGAAGACCATGGCAGAGACTCGAGCCGCTGCACAACGTACCCGTGACCAGAGGGACTTGAAGATTTGTCTGTCTTTTAATGGCGGCCAAGCAAATATCCAATTCTCTACCTACTAAACGTGCTGCCAGACTAGGGCAAGTGGGAGAGGAAAGGAAGAGAGGAGATCTCAGAGAAGCAAAGCGCCCACGCTCAACCACAGGCTCGGGCAGACATCGCACTAGCCCAAAGCACTTCTCCACGCGGACAGGAACAAGACCATGTCGCCTGAACTAGCAGGAAATGTCCCACCAACACGCAGCCTCCTGGCAGCAGAGAGAACTGTCACCGAGGGTGATTGCAAGGCACCTCTTGTCCCACCCAGTACAAGAGCAGCACTCCCCCAAACTGAAAGCCCAGCTCAAATAAGACAGACCTCCTCAGCGTGAGGGAACTCAAGAAACTGGAAGCAGCAAAGAGGTCCCTGAACCACAACAGTTGCTGCATCAGGCACCTTGAACTAACCTTTGTTAAAACATTGCCTAATTAGCCCAACAAAATTCCACAATGCCAGAGCGTGAAAAGTCAGCACTTCCACCAGCAGTTACCATTAAATTCTCCAACAAAAGGAGAAACCCAGGCAACAATATGGTTCTTTTCCGCTCCAAATCTGTTAAGAGGTAACTGCCAGTTTTACACCACCTTATTTCAAGGCTGTGAAATCCTGAAAGCGCCTTGCTCTCGTCAACAACAAGAGCAAGGAATGAACGAGCCGCAAGAACATTAGCGAAATGTGTCATCGCAGGCAACTTGACTCTCTACCAATTTGAGGCACATCGAGGCATTTGTGGCAAGTGAAGCTCACAAGCCAAAGTATAAAACAGCTTCAACATGCAAAACCAAGCCCCCTCTCAGGAGGGCATTAACACCAGTTAAGACTCAAGCACGTTGACTAGCTCCAGGGCTGTAAGCTGACACTGCCAGTTAGCACAGGAGTTCAGGCTACCTGATCTCAGAAGCCATTCCCTACTTCAAAGCAGGTAGCAATTTCAGCTCTTTGTCTCCACTACAGCCTAGCTACCTTCTGGCCTGCCAAACTGCACAGTCACCACAAACTGGTGCTCCAGGTCACACCTGAATGAAGGTCAGTATCTCTGGAGCAAACCTCAAGAAAGTTTCCTGCTCACCCATCACACGTCTCCAGCTACACTCTGAAAAAGCAAAGGGATACCATCCAAAAAGCCTTACATTGGCAATCCACCCTGCTGGGAGAACGCGAGGCTCTGATACTCAAAGCCCATTCAATACTCAACGCTGCTTCTGGGCTGACTAGAAGTAGTTGCATAGACCTCAAACACTTGCCCTGCCTCCTCCTCCTTTAGGAATTATATTTCTTCTGCTGGAAATGCTACAGTACTAGAGAGAGTTTCTGTAGCACAGGCCTAGCTTGAAACCCATCCTGACCCAGGAGTCTGGATAGCCGATAACAGATCAACAAGCCAGCGCTTTATCCTCTCCCATTCGTAACAAGCCATTCACGTCTTCTGCTGAAACACGCTCCTTTTGTCTCTAACAGGAGGCTGGCACAGGGAGGGCAGCCAAGGACTCCCAGGGTCTTTAAACGAAGGGTAAGGAATAAGAAGGTCTGCAGGGTGCCACCAGCACGAATACATCAGATGCGATGGGATTAAGGGGAACTTGCTCAAAATATAGTTCACACGTATAGTACAATTGACCCAACCCCACTCTCTTGAAAGTGGCTCAAGAAATCAGTGCCAACTTTCAAAACTAGCTACGAGATTAAAAAAAATTACTGTAGAAAGTCCTGGCAGTCCCAGACAGGGCAGCACAATTTAGGCAGTCGTTCAAAGCCCTACGGTCACTCAGCTGCTGATGGAGACAACACGCCTGCTAGCTTTGCCCAGCCAAAAAGAGCCCTACTGTGACGGTTGCTGTACCAAGCTGCCAAAAGAGTAAGAGCCACTGGCCACAGCTGTTGGCAAAGGGCGGTTTTGAAAACCCACACTGGAAGAAAGCTATGGCTGCTGCTTCGGAGCTTCATAACCCGGCTGTAGCCAGAGGTGAGATACAAGCCAAACAAGTGGCCCGGCAAATACTACAGTGTGAGCTCTGCATCCCGACCCTCTCCATGCAGAAGGCTCAGGATTAGTCCCTCCAGCTTCTTGAACAAGCACACCTGGCTCCTCTGTACAGTGAGATGGAGCCAGCTTCTGGTTGCCAATGACTTCCTGAGCCACGACCCGCCGTGAAGCGCGGAGGGGAATAAGAGAGACAGCAGAGACTCTACGGCAACGCAGAGCTTCTCTGAGCAAACGGGGTAGCGGGCTCTACCTACCGCAGCTGAGGTCTGAGTCTGGATATCATACTGGCAAGCATCAGGAAACCATTCAGCAACATGAAGGAGAACAAGAGGAAACACAACCGTCTTCAGTTTCACCTCAGTGTTTCTAAAGGCCACTCTTCAGACGCACTACTTCCTTACCAAGCTAGCACCTGCAGAGTCCCCAGGGCACCGAGCAGCAGAGGTACCTCTGAACGGAAGATAACAAGCTGGGCTTGGCCAGCCCCTCCAGACCCAACTCCGTACACAAGCCCTCACACTGCCCCATACACGCACGCAGCTTCAAACGCAATCACTGCCTAACAGGCAGACACACCAAGCAGCGGCTCAGCACAGTCAAACCCAAAAACCAAGAACTGCTGCTGCTAGCGCTGCATTGAGAACCCACCACTTCCCAAGTTCTGCTCCTGGACATTTCTCTGCAGCCCTCTTTCCAGATGCACCTCCCAGAGCAATACATTCTTTCTCTGCCTGCCTCCCCTAGGCTTGAGCTACGTTTACTGATCCTGGGTTGAAAGAGGAACGCTCGGCAGCTGCTCAGAGAGGCCCGAGCCCTCCTTGGGACGGAGGAACCTCCCCGGTTCCTGCCTGCCGGGGAGGAGCGCGCTCGCAGGCACACACACCTCACTCATTCCTCATGCTGCAGCACGCGCTGCCCTACATCCTCCAACCTCAGCAAAGCAAGAGTTATCGCAGTATCAAGGTTCTTCTGCCCCTTTGCACTGCTGGGGCACACGGTTACGCATGCACGCTTTTCCCCATGGCCCCTCCGGACTTTTGCACCATGCCTAGAGCGCAGCAGGCACGCGAGCTGCAATTCCAGGGGCTTTCAGCTGTGATCAAACAGAGCAGGATGCTACTCGTTCACCCAAACCCTCTTCTCTTCAAGCCAGTCCAGCTCCTAGCCTAAAAAAAAAGCCAAACAAACAAGCAACACAGCCCAATCATCTCTTCCCCGTGAGCCCCGCTCTGACCTTTATCTACCAAAGCCTTCAGACACCCGCAGGCGGAGAGCAGTGGGGCGACACCTCCTGCCCGGCCAAACTGCGCACCTGCCAGGGCCCCTGGCCGCCCCCCG